CAACAATTCAAAGTTCTTCGAACCTCTTTCGTTTCGTTGTTCTTTGTTGACTTGAGGAAATTTTTTTTTTTTTTTTCCTCTTAACCTTTCCTTTGGAAATATGAATATTTCTTTCTGCCTTTGAATTTTGTTTGGTTTATTAAAATAAAATAATATAATTGTTCTTGTTCTCGTGATCCAGTTATACTTCTTCTTTCCGATGGATGATCCAACGGTTTTAATTTAATCGAGATCAAACTTTTGTTTTAATTTTGCTAATTTGTTTATTTTAAATTGATTTTTCTTCTTTTAATAGTATTAAATTTTGTGCAAATGCTTCTTCTGGGCTACCAAGTCTTACTTTTTGTGTTATGATTACGAATTTTGAAGCTGGCACTTAAACCCACAAAACAAAAAGTTCAACACTAGGGATTACGGCGTCGTTTAGCTTAGCAGTTTGAATTGTAACGGTGCCGTTTTCATTTTCTGACTTTGTTCCTCAATCTTCTTGTACATAGGACCTACCTAGTAGCTTTGCAACATTGGCCATTCCTTCGAGTCACGTCACATTCAAAGTGAACAAGATATGTTGCTTTGGCCCTGTAACATCATACAAAATCGCGGTATGTTTCCAACCAAAATACTACCAAATAATGCTTGAAACTTATTTTGATAATCAAGCCAGCTCTATATATAATTCATTTGACAATATTTTTAAGATACATTTGACAATATTTACCTCTTTAGCAAGAGGTGGCATTCATCCATAAAGTTTGAATATTTGGAGATCTTGGTTCTAAGGATCTAATTTTAGCTATGATTAATTATGCATATTTGTTTTTGTTTTATGGGTTAATTTGTCCTTTGACCCCAAAAAAAAAAAATTATTAATTGAGCAAGTAACCAATTAACCATTATGTGGTACAATCATAACCAATAGATTTAGGTTAATTGGTTACTTGCTAAATAATTTTTTTTTTTTACTWTTAGATAACCCATGATGAAATATTAAAATCACTTTCTTTTTGGACATACACTTGCACTTGTGTTGAAAAAGAGAAAAAAATTGTATAGATGCTGAAGTTGGAAGAGATTACCTTGCGAACAGATTGTTGTTGGTGTGAGGATCACAAACAAAGACTTTTACAAGAAGAAAACAGCCATGATTAAGGGGGAGTAAATTGCTTTACTTAATTATCTTAGATCATGTTATTAGA